GAGCTCCCATGGTAGCCCAAGGGAGGCTGCCATCTTCTCTCTCCTCTTTTGAGCTTCTTTCCTTCGTCAGAACATAAAAGGGCCTTTACGTTTAGTGTTCGTGTTGACTACGCGCTTCTTTCACCCTTATTAGAACCCATTTCTGACCATTCTTTGATTTTGGGTTTGAATTCAAGTTGTGATTTTGATGGGGCTTCCTTGGGGGTTATGTGCACGTTGTAGTCCTCGACAAAACCTAGAAGTTTCGTCGGATTCGGAGCAGTTTCCATTTGGTGGCTTTTGAGATTTTCATATCAAATTGAGGTAGGAAATGTTTTAGGATTTTATATGTGTTGTATTGAGTGTTTCTCATGATTATACAACTTATATGTATGCCTTGTATCAAATTTAGAAAGTTAGTAATTTTTATTTCTTTGTATAAGATTTAAAATTCATGATAATATATAACTTTGATTTGAATTGTGGCATGCTAGAAAATCATGTTTTAATATATTTGTTAACATATATTAAATTGGTATTGATTGAATAAAAATTGCATATTTTATTTAATATTTATCTTTTGTGAAAGATTAAATCTCATGGCCGTACCTTGCATGAAATTGACTTGTGTTTTAACATACTTTAATTTGAGAGTATTTGGACAAGTATGAAAATCTAGAGATTTTAATTAAAATGATTAATTAAAATCTAATTAAGGGTTTCGTTGGCCTAATTGAGTGTTTAGCTTGATATTTGTGATAACTAGGACTTATGTACTAGCATATGTTAATTTGGGACCATTTAGAGTTGTTTTAGAATTGAGAGATTTAATTATCATGATGTAATTAAATTATACCTTGTTGCACCGTTGATTGAATCATGTAATTGACATTGATAATATGTTTAAGGCATGATTTTAGGCTTATAATGGAATTATGAGTTTATGTTCCAATATTGAATTATATTGTTATAGCATGTAACGAATCGCACACTGAAGATTCGACATGTGATGTTATTGTAGTGCGTAACGAATCGCGCTTTGAAGATTTGACATTGTCATCCTATAGTAGTTGTGGATTTATAGCATGTGTTGTGTAGTTACAACCTACTTGTGCATGAAGATAGTTTCGTGTACTGTTTAATACGTATATAAGTTGTTAACTTAATTATTTTGGAGTCATGGGACATTGTTATTGTGATATGGCTAAAGTTCGGCTTTAGTGCGGGAGGTATGAGTTTTCCCCAATTGAGATAGTGCGCGCTAGAGTGGTCTTCCCAGCGGGTTAATGCCTGGAATAACCAATTTGTTCTTGGTTTAGTCCGAGACGTGATGTCCAAGTCTTCCACTATTTGTTTTCGCATTCAATTCCAAGTTTGCAATCATGTTTATATTGTGACTTGTGGTTTTGGCTATCGGCAATTTGATGTTGTTAAGTACATCTATACTAAATTGTTATATTTAGTTGATTTCACACTTTTAGATTTCTAGTTAATAACTTAGAGAATCTATGTCTTGATGTGTGGTATTAGATATTCTAATTATGCTAAATTATTGTATTTAGTTGATGTTGCATTTTAGACTTTAAGTTGATAACCTTGAGAACCACTATGTTGTTGCTTTGTGTAAGCATGCTCTTATGTTGTTGCTTTGTGTAAGCATGATCCTATGTTGTTAAAATTGCATGAATGAGGTGATTGATGCTAGAAATGATCTTAGGTAGCTAGGATACTCCCTGAGTCTCACCTTGACATAGACGTTAGGTGGAATGAACCACAATAATTAAATCATGCAACTTATAAAACTTTAGGTCGATGCATGCTCATTTCCTATGAGTAGCTTTATGTTACTCACCCCTACGATACTGGGGCATATTTCAGGTACAGGATACAAGATTGGAGATTGCAATTGCTTGGGTGATTTGCTGAGTTGAGCTTCTTTAGAAGCATTCTTGTTCACATGCAAGTGTTAGCATGTTCATGATTTGTCTATGAAATGTAATTTTTCTAACTTGGAGGTTTGACATGTCAAATGTTGTAAATATATTGTAATGAGGCCATAGGCCATTGTAGCACATCTATTTTATCATATTACATACATTTGCATGCTCACTTTGGCAAACAATACCTTCCTTGATGAAACAAAAACTCTAAGTAGCATTTTTAGGGAGTTTTACCCTATTCTGTTATAGGGGCATTTCGGGTATTTCACAATGCGTTTTTTTCATTTTTCGATGGGAGTCATGTAGAAAACTCAATTTTGAGGGAGGTTTCTTCTTTGTATTTTTCCAAAAAACATCATCTTGGCCCTCAAAAATCAATATTTTTCTGAAAAATCCTTGCTGCCAGGTTTTGCAAATTTTTTGTACAAATGTAGTTGATACTATTCATCGACTTTTTTTTTTAAAATCGTCACGGCCGATCCGAAACTTCCGGAGGTCTTGTGGGTGCATTTTAAGATTGCATTTTCAATTTAGGCAATTTAAAAACCTCCCGAAGCCCTATTTCCAAAACTTGGGCAGTAGCTCGGATTAGTTTTTTTCCTCTTGACCTGATTTTCTTGGGGGCATTCTGGGCACTTTACAATGCATTTTTTTTTTATTTCCGTACATATTCGAGGTAGGAAACTTGATTTTAGGGGGGGTTTCTTCTTTGAGTTTTTCCAAAAAAGTCCGTTTAGATGCCCGTTTTTACTCTCAGTTGCAGCATTGGTGGGTTGTCCTCGTCGGGCCGCCACGACATCATTTTTGTTTTTGACCTTTCTCCCCCGTTCGGACTCCAAATTGAGTAAACTTTTTTTTTTGAACTTGACTAATTTGTCATTGTCTTTCTAGCGGTGTGCTCGATAACACCTGAATCCACTTTTTGTAAAATGACCATTTTGCCCCTAGGTTCTTTTTGTCCGTTTTTGAAACGATACTTCTGCATTTGTTTCCTTTGGGTTCCGTGACCTCATTGAGGGTAACATTGGTGTCTTAGAGACGCATTGTATCTCTAGAGACCGTTGTTTCACCTTTTACTTCTGCATTTTGGATCAATTATCAGGTCATCTTTTGGTCATCATTGACGCACCAGGTTTACAAAACTTGGGCCGTCACACGCATCTCCACTTCTCTCTTGATTCCGGTGAGATTCGAACCTCATCTCTTTGATTTAAGCTTAGATTTGATGCATACATGCTATAAATGATAGATCTAAGTTGTTTCCATGATGAATAGCTCCATTGATAAAGCTTTGAGCTCTTTATATATATATGTATATATGTTTTTGTATTTTTCGTGATTTTGTTTTGATTTTTTGGAATATGGGCAGAACCAAGTGACCTAATTTGATGATTTGTTGTGTAGATAGGCCCACGACCATGTGCATGGAGGCCCCGTGCCATCCACGTCATAGATCTGCGACTTTTCGAGTTTCACTTCACAGTTCGATCGATCGAACTTTTTATTCGATCGATCTATAACAGATCGTTCTCACTTATTCTTTATCGATCGAACTTGAATCGATCTCACATTTTTGTGATCGATCAAACTTCACATATTTGTTTCACACATCTCACACACCATCTCTTGTGTTTCATGCCATCTCATACATGCCCAATGCCTGTGTTTTCCACATTGGATACATTCCGTACTTATACTGTCTAGCATGTTTTGCATCATATCATTTATTCCTTATCACTTGCATAGATTCATGTTCCCTATCTGTTTTGTTTATCCTATTTGACATACATGATTCTACGAACTGTGCTTTAATTCTTTATATCGGCACTGACTTCCTTTGCAAGTTTCGCTTTGTAGGCTATGGCTAGGGTCAAGACTGTAACTCGCGGACACTATCATCGCAGGGGCAAGCCGAGTTTAGATGATGAGGCCAGTCCATCTCATGCCCAGGAGCCCACTCCACCTCAATTTCTCTTATCTGACAGCAGATTACACTCTGACGCTGAGGCTATGCACATACCATCTCCACCACCGCTAGCTCAGCCAGCCCAGGATTTAGACCGACCATTATACAGATACTCATGCCTTTCAGTGGCCTATGAGTCGGTCTTTGACACAGACTTCTTTTCCCGATCGATGCTTACCCGGTCAGTATATGATGATATCTTCAGACGGGGCATCTCAGTCATACTAGCCCCTTTCTCATACCGAGTGTACCTGAGGTTGGTCTGGATGTTCTTCCAGAACCTCTGGCCTGCCCCAAGTAACCTGGCAGAGCTGCAGACCACCATTGATGGCTACTCGATCCGCATCACTGTGGACACATTGTCTAGATCTTGCCAGTGTCCATACGTCTGCCCTCTAGAGCTACAGGACACATATCCCATTCTCTACAGGCCCACATATGCAGACATGGCTATTTTACTCACAGGTCACTATGCCGGTGGCTAGACCTATGCCACCTGGACCTATCTTCCAGATGACCTGTGGTTTTTCGACTCTGTCCTGTTCCGTAACATCTTCATGGCCGGCCATAAGACACAGAGGCGCAGTGGTTATTTGACAGCTCTGTATGCATTCTATACAATGCATTAGCTATCTATCCCAGCGCTCATCTGGAGCGTCATGATGAAGCTGTATGTCGACCACATCAGAAAGGCCAAGCCCAAAAGGGCTAAGTATCTTCCATTTGGCCACCTCATCACCCAAATTCTACGAGACCAGCGCTATTCCTTCCAGCCACGGGAGCAGACTGAGTCTGGGGCCTAGTCTTTCAAGAAAAAGGATTAGGACAAGAGCTACAAAAGCCTGAGGGACTATGCTGTTGAGGCAACTGAGGAGATAGAGGCAGAGGAGCAGATGGCAACAGCCGCAGGCCCGATAGCGGATGATATACTAGTTGACCCGGCTGCCGTACACATGGACATCGATTTGGAGCAGCTTGCAGAGGACTCAGAGCAGCACTCTCCAGTTGGGTCATCCGTTCACGATGAGGAGTAGGCTCAGGATCATGATTCTACCGATCCAGCCACACCTGAGGCTCCTGTTCACATACCCGACTTCGGAGAGCGACTTCAGACTATGGAGGACGTCGTGGTATCTATCCGCGCAGAGACTGTCTCCATTAGAGCGGACATTGCTTCCCTCCGCACGAATGTCATGACCGCATTCAGAGATCTATCTAAAGACATCCACGGAGCACGACCTACCCGTCCTACTTCTTCTTCATGATTTTCATATTTTCTTACTCCTCTTATATACCTGTGATAGTTGCATATTTTTGATACTGTTATATTATTTTTGCAGTCGTGTCTGTCGGCTTTGATATTGGATGTACTGTACTTTATTTTTGGTTTATATATGCTTTCTTTATGGATGTCCTATTTTCATATTCTTATATCTATCTGTTTGACTCCATCAGGTGCATCCCAGTGTGATACCCCTCGGATCCTAGACCCAGGCCCAAACCTAAGGGATATCAGACAATTAATATAGAATCGACCACAGAATACAAAATGAATTTAATAAATAAAAGTTTAAAAGCTAAAAAGAATACTAAAACATGATCCTTGAAATTAAATACTTAAAATCCCAAATAATAAGGTTATAATAATCCAACTTAAAAACCTCCAAGGGTACAACTCGGGAATCCATCCAGTGGACCCCTAATAAGAAAACTAAACTGAAATAAAACTAGAAGAAATCCATAATTAAATCATGGAGAGAGATCCTACATCGTCGGAAGAACGAGTAACCTTCTCTGCTCAGCACGAACAAGCTCAAGCCTAGAACTGACGTACACCTGAAAAATAGGAATGGGTCAGGCCCACGAACAAGTTCTATCCTACTACAATCCAAGCAGAGACTCGATACGCATATACATTCTATCTAACTCAACAATAACTAAATAGTCCATAGATATATATATATTAACACTACAGGACTTTCACTAAACTACAGACCCGTCTCAACCTGACTAGTAGGTACCATGCAAAGCGCACCTAAGGTAGGCATGACTACCTAGACCTAGCAGGGTACACATCAAACCATCGTAGCCAGTTAGCATCCCAATGCATATACGCTCCCTAATCGTCGACTCTGAAACTCAAGCTCATGTCACGGTACCATAATAATATATTTAGAATCCGTTCATAACCATCCACATGAAATCTAACAAGTCGTTCAGCGTATTCAACTGCACAGACTTATAAATAAGGAGGATTTTATTTAATAACCTGTACCATTATTCCAAGATAGGTAGGACTTAGCAATTTAAGCTAATCCAAACCTAGTATGTCACCATCCCATTTCGGTGCATACAATCCAATCCATCCAACAGTTGATAGAATACATAATCAATGCACATAGCAACTGAACCATAAGAAGCATAAAAAGAAATATAGACTAACATGCTTACTCCAGTAACTGATAAATCTAAAATCATAAGAGATATCAATTAATTCCATGATGAACATAAAATAAACAGATAAGCTATCATGTTCATCCCATATCTCTGTTACAAATTATCCTACCCTGAGCATGCAAATAATTTTATCTCCTCATCCATATATCCATGACAAGTATAATAAAACTATATTAATTATCATGCTCGTCCACTATTAATAACATCAAATAAAACAAATTTCCATTCCCAGAGAATGATTAAATAAAGGTTCAGTTATTTAAAATTTCTCTGCACTGAAGTAAAATAATTTCTGTCGAAACTAACCACTATTCAAGCTATAAACACCTACTGGTTTATTATTCATTAATCCATTTGTAATACCCCTAGTTTTAAAAAGGATAAAATTGGAATTTAATTATTTTTATTTCATTTTTATGTGACTAGTTGCTTGGGTGTTTAATTGTTTTCTTTTATTATTTGATTTAATTGTGTAATTTAATTGGTTATTTGATTTAATTGAATTGGTTTATTTGGTAAGTTGATTTAAATGATGTAGTTTTAATTCTTTGATTTACTATTTTAATTTAATTATTTGTTTTCATTTCTTTATTTAAGATTAGGGTTTTATTGGGACGTCATCTAAGTATCTGTTATATATGTATATGATTAGGATTTTATCGGCTGACTCTAGTTTGATTAGGGTTTCTGTCTTAGCTCTAGTTTAATTAGGGTTTTCTAAGTGCCTATATATATACGTGTATGAGTTTTTACTGAGGGTTGGGAGAACTTTATTTACGGCACAGTGGAAATAAAACAGAACAAAGAGAGAGTTGAGAGAACAGAGGAAATCATAAGAGCTACCAAGGAGAAGAATAGAGAGGATCAAGGGAGGGTTGTGGTGGATTAAGTCAAACCCATAGGAGGCTTGAAGGAAGCTAGCAGTTGCCGGAAACTTAGATACGACGCTGAGATTTCATTACTGAAATCACAGGCAAGTTCTTCTCTTCCTCTTTCCCTTTGGCTTGTGTTCTGTGCACCTAGATAATCTCTAGGGTTTAATTAAATTTTTTTTTTAAATCAGAACTTACATGCTTGCTATATAATATATTGATGATCTTTACGTGTTAAATTTGATTATGGTATAATGCGTGCAAGCTTGTTTCAAGCCTTGATCAGTTTTCTGTTTTAAGCATGTTATGTTGTTAAGCAATTTTAGTCTATGTAATTGCCTTTAACCTCTGTAAATAAATCATGGGGATGTTACTATGATGATATAAGATCTTTAGGTTCATGGGTAAAGAGGAACAGAGGAGTTAGAATGGAATGGACGTTGCAAGTTAGCTTAAGTTTCGTACTGTAAATATACTAGTTTAATGGCTAAATCTAACCTCTATAATTGGTCCCAGTTATTGTAAACAACCTTGGGGATGCTTCTAGACTCAATTAAGACTCCTAAGATTAGTTTTAGAACCCAGCAGAGTGGTAGGAATTGATCAGAGAGGGAGCAGACGGACTGAACGGAGCAGAATGGGGACGAAGGCTCTCAAAGGAGGTGAGAGCCGGCTCCATAGAAGTGGGAGCCGGCTCCCACAACAAGTAGAGCCGGCTCTAAGGAGTCCTAGAGCCGGCTCTAGGCTGGAAAAGAGCCTGCTCCAAAATCTGGAGCAGGCTCCCTTTTCATTTTATGATTTGTTTTAATTTTTTTTAAAATTTTCTACGTTGGTGCTTACTATTGGAGCATGGGTTTTAAATCTGTTGGGTCTAGGGTTCCACAGAGAGTTTAGAAGGCTAAATTTGGGTGTTATTAGGACCTTAAATTGATTAGGGTTTAATTATAAATTGTCGGGATAAACAGTGTAAAAATTAAGACACTCCCTATGTTGTTAACAAATGGAAGATAAATTAATTGTTGAATTAAATTTCAGCAATTTGATGGAATATAATGTGTTTATAAAACTTGTTTTAGAATGCATTCAAGTGCATGATAAGGTCATTTAATTATTAATTTTGATCTATGCATGCTTAGGAGGTTAGTTGCTGAATTATTAAATCGTTTCCTGCAACTATATGGTTAATGCTTGGATTTAAATTGCTGAAATATTAAACAATCTTCTGAAATTGTTTTAGCAATTTATTGGATAATAATAGGATTATTTAACCTATTCTCATGCATGATGGAGTCCCTGACATATTAAATTTGGTCTATGCATGCTCTGGATGTTAGTTGTTGATTTATTAAATCGTCTCCTGCAACTATATGGTTAAATGTTTGGATTTAAATTGCTGAAGCTTTAAATATTTTTCTGCAATTATTTAGATGGTGGTTTTTGGGTCTGTAAATTATTGAACTGTTATATATGTTGTAATTTACATGGATATGGAGAATTGTATGTACCGGTATGGGACGGTGACATACTAGGGACGGTTTAGCTCAAAACGCATAAACCTAACCTAATGGATTAATGGAATGGATTGAAAGATATCGAATCCTAATTGTGACTAAGTCAGATCAGCTGTAACCAAGTTGGATGACTTCCTGGATTAACGAATGGTAGTTAAGTTATATCAACTGAATAAGTTGAGTGACTAACTAGTTAGTTTATTGTATGTCAGTTTAATCAATAGTTGAACTGCATACCCTGGATTTGGACGGACTTTATATATATGTTTATGGTACCACGAGTTGAGCTTGAGTCTCAGACTCGTTGGTTAGGGTGCGTATATGCAGTGGATGTGTAGCTGGCTATAGTAGGTTGAGGTGTACCCTGTTAGGTCTAGGTACTCATGCCCACCTTTGGGTGCGTTTTCGCATGTTGCCTTCTATACAGGTTGAGACCCCTACTGAAGTCCAGTGAATGTCCCTTAGTGTGGATATATATATACATATGGACTAGATAGCTATTGTTGAGATATCTAGGGTGTATTTGCGTATCGAGTCATTGTTTGGATTGTAGTTAGAGAAGAATTTGCATGTGGGCCTGACCCACTCTTATTTTTACAGGTGTTTGTTAGTTCCAAACTTGGAGCTGGATCGTGCTGAGCAGATATAGTTATTCACTCCACCGATGACCAGGGTTTTATTTCATATTTTAGACTTGGGTTTCGTTTCCAATCTTTTGAGTTCAGTGAGATATATTAGGGGTCCACTAGATGGATTCCCGAGTTGTAGTAAAAATTGAGAAGTAGGATGTATCAGAATCATTCTTTGTTAATTAAAATTTATTCTGAGGTTTTTTGGATTATTATTCTAGTTTCTTTTCAGGAATTTATGTATTCTTGTTTTCTTATTTGTATTCTGTGTTCGATTATTGCTAATTGATTTGATATCCTCGGGTTATCGGGCGTGGGCCTGGCCAATCCGCATCCGAAAATTCGGGGGTATCACACCATTCTCTAAAGTGTTAACAAGACTTAGAACACCTCTAAACACCTAAATATAGCTTCTTCCAGAATCTGAAAATCCTAAAATCCAAGCACCGAAGCCCAAACAGTTGCCCAAAAACCCAGAAAACTAAAGACTTAAAGAGAGCCTGCTCCAAACCAGTTGGAGCCACCTCCAACCAAGATGGAGCCGGCTCCAAACCACTTGGAGCCACCTTCAAAGCACTTTGAGCCGGCTCCATGATTCCATGGAGTCGCCTCCTTCCTCCTCTCTTCCTCTCTGTTTCTTCTCTTCAACTACGTCTTCACCGGTGACGTTTAGTTTGATCAGTCCTCAACTCTAATGATTTTATTGCATAAAACTAAGTTC